AAAAGCGTACTAAAGCCTTAATGAACGCTACAGCCCCTTTACCCAAGACCCAAAGTCGCGTGACCCTGGTTCTCTCCTCGTGGAAGGGTCCTTGTTTAAATCTCTCCTGAGACATCAAAGGGTATCTATCTATTTTTTTTTCTTTTTTTTTTTTTGTTATTCTTATTCTTACACGGACAAGTACAAGAGATCAAAAGAATGTGCGTGTCTTTTTTTTATTCTTCTTTTTATTTTCTTTCTTTCTTTTTCTTTCTCTTTTTTAATTAGAATTTAAAGAAGAAAAATAAATATTATTCTTCTTCATTTTTTTTTTTTTCTTTTTTCAATTAGAATTTGAAAGAAGAAAATTAAAAATATTTTCTTTCTTCATTTTTTTCTTTTTTTAAAGAAATTTGAAGAAGAAATTATTATATATATTAGCCTCCCTTGTCTCGGTTCTTAAGATGCTTGTTACTTCGTCATCTTATCGCAAGACGTGATAAAATTGCATATTGGAATTACAAGTCGGGAATGGGGGAATAAAAGAGTGTGTGAGAGATAGAGAGAGGAGAAAGGCGGAGAAGGGGAATAGAGAGATAGGGAGAAAAGGAGAGAGGGGGAATAGATAGATAGATAGATATAGAAGAACGAGTGTGGAAGAAAAAGAGAATAAAAGCAGAAGCGGAAAGAGAAGAGAGAGAGAGAGATGAGGAGAGAAGAGAAAGAAAGAAACGAGAGAATAGAAGGAAATAAAAAAGACAAGAGGCAAAGAGAGAGTGAAAGAACAGATGTGAGAGAAAGAGAAGAGAGAGAGAAGAAAGGAAAGAAGAGAAGAAAGAGAAGAGAAAGAGAAAAAGATACATAAACAACTTCAGCCAATGCGCTAAACTCATCTTACACTAATTTTATTTCTTTTATTCCCATTTTCACCCAGAATATTAATTTCTGAAAAATCCCATATTCATTTACGCTGTCCATCTTTTTCTGTCCTCCCCTTCGTCATCCTCCCCTCATTCCTATTTTTTTGTTTTGCTCTCTTATCCTTCTCCCCTTTTTGTTATTTAACTTTTCCATCTTTATTCTTTACGTGTTTCGTTATTTCCCTCCCTTCCTCAATTCCTTCTCC